AGCTAAGCAGTCGATGCACGAGATCAGACGGAGCAGTGGTGGAGGTGATGGCGCATTCGATGGATCGCACGAGGCCTTCCTAATTAAGCGGTTAGCATGAATCGGTTATGAGTACAAGATGGATTCACTTGATACTGATCATAGAGTTCTGTCCAGCAGGATATAAATGCTGCATTGAACAGTTCTTTTGCCAAAGGAGGGTGAATATCGACAAGGCTCATGCAAGCCCGAAGCGCGTGCGATGGAGATTCCTTCATCAACTCTACAGAAAGGCGGTGCATCCACTCTGTCCAATCTTCCCTTGTGCTCGCGGAGGACACGTCCCACGCTTGCTTCAAATGCTGTTGGTTTACAGTCAATTTAGCCGCTTCCGCAGGCACGGAGATTTCTGCAGCCTTGGATTCGCTGAAGGGACATCAGAAACTAACATCATGAAGTTACCCAAAGAGACGCACAGCAAGTCATGAGTGCCTGGCTCCTGTGGTAGACGTTCCCCATTCAGGAGCTTCGATATCAAATTCTCATACCTGGGATGAGGTATACGATTCCGGAGCAGGCACTATCTTGCGGTCAATAATCCCAAAAGGAGGAATAAATCAACAATACACACCTTGTTGATAGTGGGCACGAAAATAGCGAAATCAGATCCGAGTTGGACAACTAGTGCGCACAGGGTGTCCATCACCGCTTGTCGAAGCTCGTTGTTGTTACCCTCTAGCACACGGATCAAAGGGTGGACGATGCGAGAAGCGTGGTCAGAGAAATTGACGCGGAGGGATAAATGAGCTATAGTCTGTATTGCTTTCTTGCGGAGCAGAGTGGTAGCATCAGGTCGTTCAGCAGATTTGACAATAACGGGGATGACGAGGTGAAGGTACTCCTCGATATTTGCCCCGAATGTGAGGAAAGAATCAAAAATCTTAATCTGAGTAGTCATTTTCTTCTCGAGGTCTCCTTCGAAAACTTTCAGAAGATGAGGCAGGATAGTTGGTAGAAAAGGTTTGAACTCGGCGTCTAAAGCCTTCCCCAGCGCCTCAATCAACGATACTATGGGAAGCTGAAGGGAGGCGTTCTCCCAAAGCTCCGTCACAAGGCTAAAGACCTCTGGCATATAATTGCGGATATGTTGCTTAATTATCCCAACTAGGATAGCCAATTGCTGCAGGTGAAATTCTTGCAAACGGGCTGTGGAGGTGCGAGCCACGGCAGTAAAGGCAGGAATGATCTTTCGAAACATTTGGGTCAGTTCGACGTTTGGTCATGCAGTAGCAAGAGAACTGATGCACCTGCGGTAGGAAGGCCACACATTTCAACCCTTGCGTCCTGAAAATGTTCATGATCGCTTCGATGACGGTGTGGTGGTGATTGCTAAGTGATTGATCCTTCAAAACAGCCAGAAGAGACGTGATCACAACGGTCTGGTAATAGTCGTCACTGCCGGTCAATGACCCTGTTTGAGAAATGGCGACAGCATTGACAGCAGGAAGTGGTGTTTCATTCGTGACTTCCTCATCCGGTCTCGCCTGAGGATATGTCAGTAAATCAAAGCGAAGAGATGCATACCAGACAAACCTTTCGCCTATATGGATCCAGAGCTCCAAGGATACCGAGAACTTTGACGACTTCTCTTACGACTTCGCGGCGTGCATGCGGAGCGGATTCGCTTCTCAGAATGCGTCCCAAGATTGGAAGTAACTGAGGATAGTCTACCAAGGGTGTTATGACATATCCGGTGCTAGAACACAACTGGCCAAGAGTGTGGAGAGCAGCATCACGCTTGACATGAGCCGGGTCGGAGAGTCTGGAGATGATGACCTGCATGAGCTCCGGGATATGAGGAGCCACATCTTCCCCGCCAACAGCTGCCAGTTCCCCGAGACACATGAGAACATTTGCAGCTACAGCCGGGTTACTGTCATTCGCCTTCTGCAATAGGACGCGGAGCATAGGGAGTGCATATGGCTTTATGAGACGTTGAGTCGCGCCCACCAAGAGAGTGAGAAGGCGGGTGCAGTCTTCGCGATTTCGCCTGTAAAAATGTTCATGGCTTGATCTAGGTCATGGGGATAAATGGACGCACATTACAGTTGAGTATTCTAACTCTGTCAATAGTTGTATCAGAGCCTTACGCAAGGACGGCATGACGTAGGCAGGGTTATGCTTGGCAAGACGTCCAATCAAAGTGACAGTAGTAACACGATTCTCGAAGACCTCATCATTTAGGGCGATAAAGATTGACCTGACGTTCTCCGCTTGCGCCAAGTGCTTATCAAACCTTTCATGAAGAGAGGATAGAACAGTTTGCCGAATGGTAGGGTCTTTAAGCAATATCAATTATGTTAGGTAGTCTGTAGGGGAACAAATGAACCTACCTGGGTCTGCAATGCCTACTGTGAGCAGTTTGTCGAGAACGTCGCTGATTATTTCAATCGCGTGACTACTCGCTTGGTAGCAAATTGGGTCCCTGACGAACAGTCTGCAACAAGTGAGAGCACCAGCACGTCGAACCTCTGCATTGTCGTCTTCCAGATAAGGAAGCGCGGCATTGCGGACAAACTCGTTCAAGATGTGACCTGCTCATGTTGAGTACACTATATTGAATAGCAACAGGTAGCTTACCGCTGAAGTCAAAGGTGCCAAGCGTGGACAACGCAAGTGTGATGAGCTCAGGACTCTTACCGCTCCTGGTTGTCTTCGCGAGTCGTGCTTAGTATGATCGACAGAAGTGTTGAAGAACTTACCTGAGATGAGCTCAAGTCTCTCGTAAACGCAGAGACGTCAGTCCTGACAAGGGAAGGTGGGGCTCCGATGGCTTTATAAGGTTGTCCACATAAGATCATGGAAAGTAGATCCAGTAGACGGTCTGAGTATGTGTTTGTTTTAGTAAGAATGTCATGTGCAGTGTTGACTGACGCACCTTGAATAGTCTTTAGCAAAGGAGGGATATTACGTGCAATGGCCATCAGCGCCTGTCTAAGAGGCTCACTCAGGCCGCACGCAAAGAATAAATCAAGTTGATCGTGAAGAAGCTTTGTGAGGTTTGGACCAACAGCCGAAGCAAGCATTCCGACGCATTGGAAAATAGGTTCTTCAGAAGGAGCATTCTTCTTTCTGTAGAAAGAGTTCTGATGACTGCATATAATAGTCTATATAAGACGTACCCCCTGGCTTGTAGACCAAGCTTAATTTGAGCCATGATAGAATCGAGGAAAGGTTTCATATCACTTCCTACGGCAGTGGCAGTGTGACCGATGGCGATGAATGCTGACGAAACAAATCAATATGTAGCATTTTGACTGATAAGGGGATGCAAACCAAAGGACCTCTCGTTTGGCTTTTCCAGCTGAGTTAGTAGATGTCCCATGGATTTGTGCAGGTGATGTTCTGAGAAAACTTGCGTTTCGTAGGCAGCGAGAGTCGGGATTAGGGTGATGACCATCTTGCGAACGAGACCGTCTCGATGTGATTTGAAGCGAAGAATTTGTTCCGCAGTATCCAAAAACGATTCTCTCATAAACTGAAGACAAATATCATTCAAATGCGATGACGGTGCTGAAAACACTTGCCATATCACCATGCAACAACAGTTCTCGGTATGTGAGAAGAGACCCATGGATGACTTCAGGTTGTGACATTTTGAGCCCCAGTTGCGCGTCCTGAAGAATCTTCATGAGGTAAGTCGTACGTGTTTGCCGTTCACGTGTTGTAACAATCTCAAGGCATGCAGCAAGAAGTTCTGCAGCTCCCTCCCTGACAATGTTTCGAGAGTCCCGAAGAGGTATGAGTATCTTGTCAAATACGAGGCTGATGTGGGAATGAAAATATATCGCACTGTTGCGTGCGAGCTCCTTCAGGATAAGCACTCCGGCATAGCGGGGAGACTCCTGCTTGTCACCCTGTAACAGTTCCACTGCAGCTGGAACTTCTAAATCCATAAAGCGTTCTCCGAAGTCGGCGCCGCCAATTGCAGCAATTTGGCCGAGTGTTTTGGATGCTGCCAGCATGATGTTGACATCGTGATTTGGCAGTAGCTGCTTGACGTAGTTGTAAAACCGAAAGAGGTACTTCTTTGAACCAATAGTGTCCTCTCCTTCACTTTCAAGGAGGTGATCTAAGTGGGATGAGCTATACAACCGTGGTACCATGACGTTTAGACGCACCTATGGCCAGAAGTCCACCTAATCTATCTACATTATTCTGACTGTGCATGAGGTCGAACAAGCGTTTGTTGATGTCATCATCCCAAAGTTTTGCTACAGCATCAGATGGCATTTCTGCGACAGTCATTGCAACCTGCTAAACCATGAGAAGTGACTCGCACGCATGAATGACGAACGCACATAGCGACGCAACTCTGTTGCAGCTTGCAATCGAGCATCGTGGGCAGTGCTCCGTAGGCCTTGGAAGATCTGCCCGAGGTGATCCGTGTGGGCATACTGAGTTACGGACGTCATACTTATCGTCGCCAGCGTCCTAAATGTTCTACTGCTGCACCTGCAGTCCGACTACAGGATCGCAACACGCTGTGGACACTTGAAGAGGGAAGACTATTTACGGCAAACCTAGAACCTGATCCGTCCTGTTTACGTTTATTGAATTCTAAAGATTGTCACCATAGACTTAGCTATCAACGTTACATCCATTCTTGATTAATGATTAATGATTCTTGACCATGGTAACGTGTATCGGAGGAACGGTTGGTTTCATTCGTCTATGGCGCCTAATTCTTGAAACGTAAAGAGACTTCAGTACTTCAGCTTCGAAGTTCAGCTATTCGATCTTTAATTGCCAATATTTACCAAAGCTGGTCCATCCACCATCAATGCATCACGGCCTGGTGGTCTAGTAGTATGATTCCTTGTTAGGGTGTTCGTCAATTTCGAGGAGGTCCCGGGTTCAATTCCCGGCCAGGCCCTGTTTTTTTGACGCCATCGATTGGGAAGTGAAACCCAGTACATAAGGAATATTTCGATTCCAGGATATCCGACCCCCTTCAGCATCTGCGCCAACCGCTCATCGATGCAAATTGACTGAAAAATTTGTATCGTGAAAACATTACAAACCAGTCGAGCGTCGCTAGCACTCGCGACGCTTGATGGCACGCTTAATTTGCGTATGATAGCTCTAGATATCACAGGTGGACTGGTTCTTATTACTGGGCGTGATTACTAGTTGATTCCCGAACTCAGGCTAACTCGAGTCCCCGGACTCCACGACTGTCAGGACTCAGTACTCAGGATTGTTGCTCTCTGAACTGAGTCTATGTCGTTCCAGGACTGTCAAACTCTACTAGTATACTTATAGAATAGGCCAAGATCTAGAATAGGCCCCAGCATCAAGCGACGTGCTTGACCCGTGACAGTTATTGTCATCATCCGCAGCTGCGCAGTTTATGCGCAGTTTATCATTGTGCTCGGGGTCCACCTCCTTTGGTGATGTTAAATGGGCTACTGATGAGTTCTAACAAGTATTGAATGCACCGCTGTCAGGATGATACTGCAGAGCAAGGAAGAACCGCAGTTACACACCGCTATGCCTATTCAAGACGATGAGGAACCCTACGAGTCTCCATCCCATATTCCAGATCACGACCCTCCGCCGTACAGCTTCTCGTCAGATTCTACGGTCGTAACGTCGGCTAACACGACAGGGCTCGCCAATGCGCTCACAATGAAGACCATTCGGCTGGAAAAGCACCATGAGTTGATATCCGGTAAGCACCATTTATGTCGTGTTTTATTTGGTTCTAAGGAAGTTTGACCCACCCATGCAGGCACGTACATCATCGACCCTGATGAGTCAGGAGACGAACCGTCCGCTCTACAAGGCTTTGCAGCCAGGCACAGTGACCCAGTAGGGCTAAGGAAAGCAGCCGACTTCCTCACTGCAGCGCCGCATGCCGTTTTTCGCAATCGTTTCGGGTCCATCTTTCTAACTCTAGCTACCAAAGGATCGTCAGAACAATGCCATCGGGCCATAATTGACGTTTCGACCCGCCATGGGGATATTGCCGTTAACTTGGTGAGTAAGAATTCTAAACTTCATCCCCATAACGTTGAGTCTTATGTTGTTGAAAATAGAGTTCTGTACATCCTGGTAAACGTATCACGCTGAAGGTAACTTCCCGAAGAGGTGAGTTGAAACGGATGGTGCTCAGACTGGCAGTACAAGTTGGCGCCCACGGAAGGTCCGATGACATGAGAGCCGTGTTCTTCGGATTTCACATGGGAAACCATGGAAAATCTCGTTTTCACTACGCCTAAATCTGTCTCTTCTACGTCACGCGTCAAAATGTGACACTGCTGCTTAGCTCTTCTTTTGCGTCATACTTATTTAATTTGTACTGACATTTTACATCTATCAGGCAAGATGGTAATACTGCTTCCCCCAACTTTTTGCGGGCACGTGCAGATACGCAGTAGCAAATTGGACGGCTATGACATTCTTCCAGGACTGTCTAGCAGCATCCGCAGCACGAGCGGGAAGAAGAAGAAAACGTTGTTACTCATCGGCGACAATACTCCAACTACTTCAGAAGGGAGTAAATCCATGGATCAGTGTCTTCTCTCCTCACGCCACGGAAGGATTGTCCTAGGCTTGAGCGGACGAGACAGCATGCCAACACCACAACGAGAGGATAACATTTTGAGGAAAATAGGTTCCTTTTTCCGCGGTGGTGAAAGTACGGGAAGTTCTTTACAGGATCTCACACAACCTCATTGACCTCACGACCAGGTTCTTGAGATTGTGTAGATACACACGAAGTATCAATCTTCTATCACAGATGAACGTGAGCAATCGTACGCGTAGACTTACCTAACTCCGATGGTACCGGAGTATGGATCACACTTCATTCCGCGTTCGATATGCACCAGGTGTCAAGCGCCGAATAGTTGATAAACTCATGTTACCAAGGACCCCGTTTAGTGATCCCCCACTCCACTCTTCGCTACCACTTTATCGCTGTCCATCTGATGTCGTTAGACGCCTCTGATGTCAATCACCATAGCGGGTGCCTTTCCCTAAGACGCTTGTTCAAGTTTAAACCTCAACGCGTACCTAAGAGTTCCAGTACACAAGCGAACTCATCCCATATATGTGATCAGACGCGAAAGGCATCTGATTCAGAAAGAGATGCTAAGATCGTATGTTTTGTCTTTGCATCATTTTGTGTGTAAACTTACCCTTTACCGTCCCATAGACTGATCTGACCTCTCGTGTGTTTTATGATACGTGCTGTGACTTTGGAAGCAGATTCGATACTGCAGTATCCCAGTGGGAGGCTCCTCCCGTTTATTCAGACCTGCCTTCTTCTAATGATTCTATACGTGGAGAAATACGGCACACGATAGAAACTGTGATCGACACACTCGATTCTTCCCTACGATCGCTCAGTCTCCAGATTCATAGTAAGCTCCTCAGCTCTGGTCTCGTTTATATCTTTGACTGTGGGATACATAGGCCACCCAGAATTAATGTTTGAAGAAATGTCTGCAGCACGTGTATCCCTCGCGCATGTTACTGATGGAAATTTCACAGATTTGCTCACAGACTTCTGTCTGATTACATGGAAAGTCATGGGTTTTCTGTGACGAGGCATTATCTCGGCCTCAAGACTGCTTGGAAGGCTGAATATACCCACGGACAGGGAGGCAGAACCCTTGGGATTAATTCGGAGATGGATGCCTTACCTGAGATTGGGCATGCATGTGGCCACAACCTCATTGCAATCAGTGGGGTAGGTGTGGCATTAGCCATAAAATCCGCATTGGAAACCTACAACGTTCCTGGTACTGTCGTTCTTCTAGGAACCCCAGGTAACCAGTTTGAATTCGGGCCGACATGAAATACTAATTTCTGGTTCAGCTGAAGAAGGCGGTGGAGGAAAGATTATCCTGCTTGAGCGAGGAGCCTACAAAGGGATGGATGCTTGTTTAATGTCCGTGTGTCCCGCTACATGCATTCGGAGCATCACTGATACATGCGTGGCCAATACAGGTGTCATCCTTCCCCTGGGCCCGAGCTATCTTCGTTTGTGGTATCTTCGTTGGCGATGCAATCTATAGATGCCGAATTCTTTGGGCAATCGTGGGTCTTGTGGTTCGTATATGGTCTCATGAGTTAATCCGAAACAGCGCTCATGCTGGCAATGCTCCATGGGAAGGTGCCAACGCACTTGATGCTGCGTTTTTATCATACTCCAGCGTCTCCGTGTTACGACAGCAGATCAAACCTGACCACAGAGTCAACGGTGTGATAAACGGGAGTGAGAGAGCCGCGAATGGTACGGTCTAACAACTACTATCACTGAAGATAGATAACCCAACAAGCCTTTTACAGTAATCCCAGACTACGCCAAAATGAGGTGGTATGTCCGAGCGCCGACACGAGACCAGTTAACGCAACTGACTGAAAGAGTATGCGCCTGTTTTGAGTCAGCCTGTATCATAATCTGTATGGTGCACGGGAACTTACAAGGTTCACAGGGGTGCGGCGCTGGCAACTTCCTGCCGTCTGAAGATTACAAAGAACACGCCCTATTACGACTTACGGCAGAATAGCATCCTCGGTAAGTCGCCTTCTAAGATGTTTTTGATTAATCAATATAATTTATACTAGTTATACAGCGGGTGCCTTCTCTCACACGATATGTCAAGAGTATGGCATGAACGTCGGGCAATATCCTTCAGGGGCATCTACAGATTTCGTATGTGTGCATATTTATTATTAAATATTCCCAACTTGATATATTACCTAATAGGGCAATGTTTCATACGGCAAATGCCATCTCTTCTAATGGCAAATTTGTTTACTGATTGTATTTTTAGTCTTGCCCTCGCTACATCCAGCTTTTGGTATGTCGTGGCGCGACTATCTCTACACTTATCTGACCGTGCGCTAAAGCCATCCCTACGCGGCCCAATGGGGGAAACCATTCGCCAGCATTCACTGATTCTGCGCGAACCACGGAAGCCCACAAAGCGTGTATGCTTACCACTAAGGCCTTGGCGTGTACCGGCTTCCGTGTCCTGGAAGACAATATTTTTTTCATCCGGGTATGCGTGTTACCTATCAGTTGATCTCCATTCGTGCTCAACGTTTAATATGACAGGTACAAGAGGCCTTTGAGGCCAGCATGTGATACAATCCATAATGGAGAGCTCATGAGTGTATGTTTAGCATGAGATAGGTAACCACCGCACCACGTATGTACTTATATGCAGAGCATCATCACAGAAAGATTCAAAGAATAGTCATAAAAATCAAAAGCAGTCCTGTCCTAAGATCCGATCCGATCGTACACGCCCCACCCCGAACCCCGGCTGTCTCTGCGCTACTGATATTTACGTGTTCCCGAGTCTCCTTCAGCTTGTTCTTTCATCGGATGCTCGCCTTCATGCAGTGACATCTCAGGCGTTGTGGTACCTTCTCTTCGGGTCTTTCCACGTAAGTGGTGATGCTTTGATTTGCCCTCTGCTGCTTCTGCGACCATTCTAAAATAAAAAGTCAACGTGTGCATAAGTCATCGCGGATCAACTTGGGAGCCGAACGCACCGCTCAAGTTCGCGTCGGACCTCGTCACTCTCATCGGGAACCGTGCTTTTAAATATATGTCCCATGATCATCAATCCCTGACAAGGAACGAGGTAAGAGTGACGTCATGTCAACGGATACAATCTTCGAATGACGACAAAATTAACACACCTTCGCCCGGTGGAACAAGACCTGATCGGACGCCTCTTTATCCTTAAGCACATTATCCACAACCTGAATAGGAATGGTTCAACTGCTGCGCATCCGTAAGAAACCCTTGAGCGTACCTCCCGGAGAACCTGAACGACCTCGAAACGCGTGCCTCGCCAAGATGCTAGCATGATCTAATGCGTGTCAACTTATTTCGTGAAAAGATTGACTATGTTGCGAAGTACACGGACCTTGCCTGTAACATCCTCTTCTAGTGCACGCATCACTTCCTCGTCGAGCTCCCCCTTCTTTTGTAAGCGGTCCATTTCGGACATGAGAGACTGCACGCTAAATCTGTTTTACATATATCGTGAACGTGTGAACACGAATATATAGATGAAAAACGAACGCGCTGCCGATGACACCCCATGCGTCTTTTGCCACTGAACCCTTCTCCTTCATTCGCGACCAGAAACCTGCACTGCGCCACATAAACGAATCCATAAGGGAACCAATAAAGACGCTACTCACATCCCTAGGAATTTCTTCGACTTCATAAACGAAGTAGCCTTCATCATATATACAGTCCCAATTGCATGCAGCAGCTGTCAATCCCCCGCTTAGCTAATTCAAAACATTGACGCGCACCAGCTACACATACCTCAACCCCAAAGCTCTCCAGTTTTAAATCGTCTGCTTCAAGTTTCATCCGTGCTTCGAATGCCTTTGTCTCGGGATCTTCCCTGTCGCCAGGCGCTTTCGCATCCACAAAGGGTCGTAGTCGCTCGATCAGCTTCGCAGTGAGCATCTTTACTCGTTCATCCATCGAGCGTTTGCGTTCATCATCAAGATCCTGGAGCTTCTTTTTCTGCTCTGGCGTGAGTTTATTGCGCTTCTTATCCTTCTCTTTGCTTTCTTTGCCGCCTGTAGAAGAGGTCGGGGACCCCAAAACAGACTGGCGCTTCGAAGCATCAGCAGAACTGGGTGTTAATGGTCCATGTGTCGATGGACCAGGTGCAGAAACGTGTGGTTCATGCGACACTGCTGCTGGTGGCGGGACGATGCCCTCTTTCTCGAGCTCGGCACGTTCCTCATCGGTCATTACTGTCTGTGCCACGGACGTCATCTCCTTCATCAAAGATATCTCGCCGATCTGCGTGTGCCACCAGAATCAGTCGACAATTTAATTGTCATGGATGGAGCCAAGAAATTAAAAATAGATCTCTAGTGTAAAGCAGGAAGAGACGCACATAATCTCTGAATCGCTCTCCACCAAACACGTTTGCGAAGAAACCCGCTGCGTCGTCTAGTTCTGTACTCTCCTTGTCCACCTAAACCACGCAAACCCATATCTAAATGTTAACCCTCGTATATACTGAAAGGTTGACGCACCATATTCTTCCCATTCTTGTCATAGACCGCTCTCAAATTCTAATCGTGTCTCAGTTTGGATTCAAATTATCAGGGTGGAAGAAAGAGGCGTACAGCATCTGATAGCACCTGATACGCTTTACTGTGTCTCATCAGTCCACCGCCAATTCATAGACGACTAACCGAAGATGTACCTTATGTCCTTGAATTTCTCTTCCGCGCCCACAGAAGAATTTTTGTCTGGGTGATACTACACCGGATATGTGAGCTAAAAGGTCTTGCTGAGGTGAGACCAGAGAGGAGCATACGTACTTTCATTGCTTGCTTCCTGTATGCCTTCTTGAGGTCCGTATCGTTAACATCCACGGGGACATCCAACTATGCGACTGGTGCTCAGTGCACGCTGTAAGAGATGTGGAGTTGCTGCGCACCAAGTCATAGTACTCTGTTTCGACTGGTGCCATTTTAGAATTATCTGTGCGTCTTTTGCCTCTATAGTACTAGTGTGGTTGGTTTGTCTATAAGATGGAAGGGAAGGGAAGAGATGCAGAAGAAGAGTCCGAAAAGCAAGGGGGATAAACGTTAACAACGTCACAGAATCCAAAAGACAGTGAGCACAGCCACTAAACCTGTAAACGACGGAAGAAGCGGACTTGACCGAAAGCAAGTTCTTGTCGGAAACAGTTAAAATTGCAATCTCAAACGGACATGATTTCAGTGCTACAATGGGGTGGAATAAAATAGTGAATGATGTGGACCATCTACATCCCTTGGTACGCTGGGTAACAAAGTGCGAGTTAATGATATGAAATAGGTAGCTGGCCAGACTTTCGCGCAGTTAAGTAGTGTCTGTGTCGAGATGAATAAATAATTATGAGTGGTTGACTTCATTTTCATCGTCCAACGCAAGCACGCTGGTTGAGAATCGCACTGATTTTCTTGGGGTTGTCGGGCGGGTCTCGGTCCCTGATGACGCTGTTGATGTCACACGCGCCGGCAAGGATGCAGATCGGTACCCGAGTATCAATTTTGACATACGGTGCCTTATGGACCGCAGGGACTGCAGGCCATCAGGTGTTGCTGGGCCTGCCGAGTTGATCGTAGATGTGGAGGGAGATGGGCGGATTAACGCAGTTGAGGTCGGAGGGGGACAATTTAAGGTAGTGCTAGTGCTTGTTTTCTTAAGGGAAGAGCGAGAAGGGGGTGGAGGAAGGCTGTGTGTGGGACGATGTGGTGCGGATGAGTCGCGGGGGTACCTTACATGAGAGGGTGATGAAGGCGCAGAATGCCGGTGATGACACGGATTTCGTAGATGAGGTGTGCAGGACACATGTAGGCCCATTGCAATTTGTTCAATGGTAGGACGGGAGACTGCGGAGTCTCTGTATCTCGCGTGCATTCGTGGATGAACATAAGGGTTTCGTTCTTCTGAGGTAGAATACATGCCATGCTGCGCAGTAGAATAATGAGAGTCGGCTGGGGGCAAATAAGGATGCTCGCTTACTAGGTTGTCTGCATGTCGTTTCCTCGGAGAAGCTAAAATGGTATGACTGATGGACTTGCGTATAGAGACGAAGAAGCGTGTAGCAGTTCCACTAAGTCCAGCTGCAGGACTCTGCTGGCGTGATTGAGGTTTGTCGTTCGTAGACACACGCGGAGAAGACACTAGGGCATTCATCATAGATCGAATGGTATGAGAAGAGGGTGCTCGAAGATCTGTGTGGTGACTCGTACGCGTGTGCGCGGTGCGCAGTACGTGATGTAATAAATATCGTGGTATGCGTTGTTTTCGCCTAGTAGCTAGGGTCCGACGTTAATGACGTGAATCATCCATGAACTCGAAGTGTTCCGGTATAAGTATTGTGTGTGGACTAAATCATTTAGACTTTTGAGCTCCGACCTAACAAGGCGCTATAGCCAAGTGGTTACGGCGACAGATTAGAAATCTGTTCCTCTTTGAGGGCGCAGGTTCGAGTCCTGCTGGCGTCGAAGTCTTCTTTTTTCGAATCTCTCTAAATATAAACATGGATGGATGAGTGCTAAGCGCTAAATATGGACGTCACAGCTCTGGAACTTCTGGACGGCTACAGATGCGGCCGTCCCACTAGTGTCAGATAGGCTGTTTCATACTGATACATCAATATACACTATAGCATAACGGGTTCGAACTGTAGTTCTGAACTCAATTCAGCTACCCACTGCCGAGGCCGAGCGGAGTTGGGACCTGCGACTATGTACGATCCACTGGCGTGTTCAGCCTGCTATTGGTATCTTCAAGGATTACGACATTGCAATTGCAATCGTGTGCTACTGTGGCGTATCAGATGAGTCTCACACTGAGACATGGTCAGCCCTGCCCAAATTTGAAGAGGTAGTCGAATTTCTCGTTCGTTGAACTGATAAAATTATAGCTTCTTCCACCAAGGCTCGTGGCTTAGGACGAGCAGATTCCTTAGCAGACAACGAAACAAAAGGGTTGTCTTCCCACTACCATGAGAGTCACTCACTCGTATCAGATGTTGAGCAGAAGCTCCAGGTCGGCGGTATCCCTACCTGCAATTCTTAGCACAAAGTTAGGTAAGGCCGGTCTCACAAGTGAGTCATTAAAACTCTACGTTATTACAATTTTGGATCGGAATACAGCCCTCACAGATTCCTAGTTCGAATGGATAAGCACCTTAGCCTTACTCGTCGACAAATACCGCCTAGCATCCTCGTTTCAGAAGATCCCTATTCCAATCAAGATACAGTCGTTGACCTCTAAGTTACCACTTTCAGGTGTCAAAGATCCCCTTTATAAGGCGAACTAACATGCCTTGAACTCGACTATAATCTTTCCGATGCTCTTCACTTATAATCTCGCTTTAGGGATATCGTGCATTGTTGCTCTGGCTGTCGTTTTGAGTCTGACTCGCAGACGTGTTTACCCTTTACCTCTGCCACCTGGCCCTCGTCCGTTACCATTTCTGGGTAACGCGCTGCAATTGGATACCAAACGACCTTGGCTCACATACACTGCGTGGGGAAAGACATATGGTTGGTAGCAGATTGATGGTCTCTTTGCCAAGCTCTTAGATTCAATTTCATACCTTATCATAGGAAAAATCATTCACTCCTGCGTACTTGGGATCGACTTGATCGTCATAAACTCTGAAACCATAGCGCGGGAGTTGCTGGACAAGCGTTCTGCAAATTACTCTTCTCGCCCCGCTACTCCCACCAACAAACTGTATGCATTACCGGTTTGCATTCAATTTATTCTTCAACTGATGATGCAGATCTGGACTGGATTTCAATACCGCATTTCTTCCGTATGGGGAGACTTTACGACAACATCGCAAGATCTTCCATCAAGTCCTCAGGGCCGAAGTCTCGCTCTCATACCACGAGCTGTACTCTCGCCACGCAAATGAACTAGTCATCAATCTTTTAGGTGCCACTAGTGACTCACTACAACAATGCGTTCAAGCGTTCGTACCTAATCCAGTTGTGTTGTTGTGACGTATAATCCAGTGTTGACGATCAATCCTTGTGACAGATACACGGCATCCTTAATCATGACCGTGACATACGGACACCTTGCTCGTGGACATGAATTTTTTACCCGCGTGCAAGAAATCACTGAGATTGGAACAAAAATTCTTTCTCCCGAGAAGGTTGCCATGTTCATAACCTTTCCTTTCCGTGAGTTGCTTCATCGATGACATAATTTTGAATGCTCAGCATGAGGTTGCAGTTGCAAAGTTACCGTTTTGGTGCTTCGGTGGAGCGTTTTCTCAGATGGGACGCTGTAGAGAATTATGTCAACAACTTTTGAACGAGCCCTTTAACGAAGTGAAGGCACAGATGGTACGTTTGCAGAGTTGGGGATGGAAATTTCGCCTGATCTGTTTACGTGAAGGCAAATGGTACTGCTTCACACTCGTTAGTCGCTGACTTTCTCAGCCAAGCTCACGATGACGCCGACGAAGACACGATGAAGTCTGTTGCGTTGATGGGATCCATAGGTAAGATTTTTTTTACCAGAACAGAATTCATCTATTGACGAGAATACGGCGTCTAAGGTGGTATAGACACCGTGAGTCGCTACTTAAGCAGCTTATGCAGTTCTGATTCTCACTTTCAATATCCCGCAGACTGCATCAGCATTGCAGACATTTCTTTTGGCGATGGTGCTTTATCCTGACGTCCAAGCACGGGCTCGTGCTGAAATTGATCAAGCTGTGGGGCATGATAAAATACCGTGCCTTGATGACAGGGCGTCACTACCCTACCTCGATGCCATTCTACGCGAGGTCCTGAGATGGTATCCTGTCGGCCCCCTTGGTTGGTCGGCAATAATATAACTTTGTGTTTGCATGGCTGACCTCCTGCACAGGAGTTCCACACGTGACATCAAATGATGATGTCTACGGCGGGCACTTTATACCCAAAGGTTCGAAGTCGTATGAGTGATGCTGTCATTGACTCATCTCTAGTTTGATCAGGTGCGATAGTAATGGTTAATCAGTGGTATGTCACGGTGGAGTGCATGTAATGGCTTGAGCTGAGCATGGCTCAGGGCACTGTCTCGGGATGAAGACATTTTCCCTGACGCATCACGCTTCGATCCTAGTCGCCATCTAGCAGTTGACGGGAAGCTGAAGGACCCTTTCGTCAACAATTTTGCCTTTGGTCATGGCAGGTGAATATTTCAACTTGCTACCATTTTCAATCATTTACCGACCCTTGCAGGCGTATTTGTCCTGGTAGGCTGATACATGGTTGATCTGGCAGTGTTATGAATGACAAATGCCCTTGGCAGGTCGTTGGTTTGCAGAGAACAGTATGTGGACTGCAGTTGCTGCCATACTCGCCGTCTTGCGCATTGATCATGCCAAAGACTCAAACGGAGACAAGATTGAGGTGAAGCTAGAGTTCACCACCGGCTTGGCGACGTAAGTGACTTAGTATGTATTCAAGAACCTGCGGCTGACTCTGCTGAAGTCATCCTAAGCCATTTCACTGCTCGTTTGAATGCGTGAACACAGCGAGAGAAGGATACATCCGAGCGATGATGAATTCGAAGTAGACACGAGGCGGCCTGTCATATAATGGCACACGATATCGCGTCGTCTTCGTGGCCATCCTGTAGATAACTTGTAATAACGACTGTGTTTAACAAACGGAGAACAGGGAAATTGTGAAAGATACCTCTGAATTCTAGTAATAGATCGTCGAGTCTCCTGGCACTGCTACTTGCATAACTCACCAGGTCCTTCCCTTCAATACCCGTCTGATTCTACACCTAGTCCTTCTGACGAGCTCAAAACACCCCATTGTGAGCATCCTGAAAGTTCGGCATAGTTGCTACAGACAGAAGATAGTAAGTAGACGTGGGTACCCAAGTTTTGCAGGTCCTCGTACCCGTATTACCCGACCCCCGATTTAACCGTAGGTGCCCGAGCTACCCGTGTCACACCCTGAATACCAACTTTTGTGATGACGTGATTGTTTGCGTATGAGTTATACCAAACCGGACTATAGGCTACATACTAATAGTCTACTTAGTATACTACTACGTGCTACGGTACTTAGTACTAACGCCTGGCCTTCACACAATAAGTATTGTACATTCTCTGACATTCAACAATATTAATAATAACAGATAAAGCTTTACCCATATGAGTTCATATGGTGCTTACTCGTTTCGAGCACGAACAAGCTGCCGAAGAAACTTATCACATGCCCAGGGATTCAACAGGGCACTAGTGCTCTGTCATGGTGTATGTAAGTTTTCAGGATTTTCCTACACAATAACAAACGAAAGCAGCTAAGGAGATTCCGGTACTTGTCGATGAAGCTGTAAAACCCGAACTTAACCATTAGTAGCCGAAACTTTTCATGAATGTACGGGATGTAACTCTTCGGATCCGAGGATAATCACAGCTTACTCCGTACAGGAAAAATGTCCGTGACCACATCATCTTGAGAAATTGACAGTGAGTTTTCGAGGTCCTTTTATTGCTTTATGATGCGAGGTGGATGCAGCGAGAGGCAGACGAGTCGCGCTTGCGCAAGACTGGGGGCCAGTCTGTCAAACAGCGCATCAGCCTGACGCAGAGAGATTCATGGAAAACTCAACCGAAACTGGTACTCGCTAGCAGACTGGCGCAACGGTTAGGTGATCGACATTGCCGAGCGGTCCTGGAGGTCTTGATCTCCGTCTGCTGTAAGGGAGGTATGTTATAACTTATTGGAGCCTACTCGGAAGCTCTTGGAAATGATAAAAGGCTGCCTACTACGCTGCAAGACCTCAGCTCCATCGTACATCCCTTTCATCGAACTCGCCCACTCAGAGAACTTACATTCAAAGAGAATGGCTACCACCACAGCTTCCTCCTTCATTAGCTCTGTGATCCTGCAGCCCATCATCGTGGCGATCAGCAGCGCTGTGTACTCATCACTCCTATCCTACGAGATGGTTGGAAACCTCGACTGGAGGCCGGTAAGTCATTCGTTTGCGATTTCACAACCTTTCTGATTGCGCCGCACACAAGATTGTCATATGCGCGACATCTGATGTCCTTGTCATCGCGGCTGACCACCTGAAGGATCAAGAAGTTGTCACCGGTACTCGAGGCGCGGCTGTCATAAAGCGTTTTACCCCCCTTGCGCGTATCTTTTTGGCGTTGAATGTGTCGCTGCTCGCGGCAGCTTTAAGTCTCAGTCCGCCGCAAGCGACGTTCTTCACCGCAGCTTTTACCGCGCCAGCTTTTCTGTGGACGACCCCGCTTGATCTTTCACGGGCCGGCGCAGTATTGAAGAGATTCATAGGGGCAAATTATAGTCGAGAAGTGAACAAAGCTCACAAACCGTTCGTAATCAAACGGGTTCCTGGCATGAAGGCTTTTTTCAGCGGTACCATTCGAAGGTATGTGATATCGCATCCTGATGGTTTATGGTTTCTGACTTTAAGACAGCTGCGGGGTGTTCTTTGTCGTCCATTCGGCGCTGCAGTCTTCGTTGACATCGACCCATAACGCACTTCCATGGACGATCGCCGAGACTCTCATTTGGTCGATTGTTAATCGCACCGGTCATTGTGTAAGACAAATTTTTATTGTAAATCTACTCGCAACTCAAGGTCTTCCAGGTTATGTCGGACGTGCGCGACTACGACGAGGACAAGGAGGCCGGAGTCCCGACCATACCGGTCCTTCTGGATTCTCTTCTTAAGACTCGGATGATCTTGACCGTCGTTCACGCAGCCGTTTTGACGGCCTTCCGCCATAATCCATTTATTGTGGCAAGTTCCTGCTTTGCCATTGCTCTTGTTTGGATCCTAGGGAAAGATACTCCGAAACCTTACTTCCGTCTTAGTCTTCACTCTCAGTCGATCTTCATTGTTACGTACGCTCTTTTACTCACTTTTAACTTACTCTAGACCACTATTACATATCTTGGGGCCAAAAGATTCTGAGGGTAGACCTTTTTTAAAAATTGGTGACGGTTCAATTTGCCGTGTATATTTTTAGGGTCCGATGTATTCACTGTAGTTCTAAAATGTCATGGTTATCACAAACATGTGGGCAGCGAGGGAGAGACGGGCACACTAGTAAGAACACATGTTCTCGGTCTCAAGACAACGCTGAGATACTAGTATGGGACTGCTAGTAGTGAGACACTAGTAGTAGGCAGAAAAATACAACATGATATTGGCGAGTACGGCTCGCGAGCCGACATCAAAATATTTCGGATCCTTCAGCCAACGACGCGAGTCGCGGATTGTTCGGATCGTTTGCGGTCTAACAATATGTAGCACATGTACGAACGTTACCGAAATGGCAGACGGACTCGGACATGCTCTTGTCATCGTTCCATGTGGGCAAATTAATTAATAGCATTCGGTCTTTTAAGCATTTCACAAAATAGGATATCGGCTTGTATACGTACATACAAGAAACTCTAGACTTACCATTTACGGTTCCGCATGGAAAGTCACTCCAGACGCAGGTACGCCTCTCCCTCTGCGTGCTATTAACGCCTGATGTAGACGAATAAAACATGGGTTTGTCGTGGGACCCTTTTCGCCTTTTCCTCCGTGTATGTTGTCCCAGAGTCGACTGTGAGACAGGGTAGGAAGGGCCGATGACTGCGACGCGGGGTGGGCAAAGTACGATGTTAGCATATAGCGCATCTGGAGGGTTCCACCGTGGAAGCATCGTCGCGACTTTGTGTTTTAAGCGGTTCGGTGGGCCAGGAGGGGGTACGGGGTGCGTGAGGATATGGTGGTATGCTCGGAAGAGCGCTTGTGCTGTTTGTGCATGGGAGATGGTGGTTGTTTTCTGGAGAGGGCGCTAGCTGGTGAGTGCGAGGGGAGATGGCACTCTAGGGTAGTAGCTATGACTGACTTCGAATAGTTGACCTGTGTCACGTAGTCGGAAACGGCGTTGGAGGTTATGTGCTGTGGGATAGATAAAGGTGGTGAGCTTCACAGTGTGAGGGGTTGGCGTTGAGGATACACTTCGTGAGCGCGACATGTTACATCTGGGAGTGGAAGGTATTTGCTATGAAGCGATCAAATAAGTCATCAATACCTCTGAATTTCAAGGGATTGTCGAGTCTCCTGGCACTGCTGCTCGCATATCTCCCCAGGTCCTTCCCTCCAGAAATACGATACTCGTCTAATTCTTCCAGGTTCGCGCCTGGATCTTCTAACGAGCTCAACATATCCCATACTGATATTCGTGAGCGTCCTGAAAGTTCAGCGTAGTTGCCACAGACAGAAGACAGTAGAATGAGATAGCGAGAAATGATTAATGAGGAATGACGGATGTCTGACGATGGCCTCGAGAAATTGTGAGCGTGTAAATCTTTAGTCAAGAATAATCACTGCTGCAGCTTGAGATTCCTGGCACGTCCGTGCGTGATCAAGCTAAGGCTGGAGAGCGCGTAGACCTGAAAGTATGTCACTCCTGACACTCCAGACGCTGAGCTTGGGGATGATACGTTCAAGGTGTGGTAAAAGGAAAAAGAGCCTTACTATTGAATAGGTTTCGAACCTGCAACAGATTTCTGTCCTATCATGCTGTCGAATGTACATCGCTGCTATGAATTGAAGAACATCAGGGATTGGCCATATGCGTGAACTTCATCTGACGTTATTCGAAAACTCTCGACACAGGTGATCAGCAGCCTCCAAGCACACCGATTTAGATTTAGAACGTTCTAAACGCTGCATGAAGTCATCGATCACTAGCTAAGCATTCATGATAGAGTTGCTCAATTCTAAACGTTCGAGTTCACTTGAGAGGCTAGCACATCGCCAAGCTTGCGCCAAGCCTTGTCCTAAATGGGACTCGTAGTACCTGAACCCAGCGCCAACACTCAACGTTCAACTAGCATGCAAGCACACATAATATCCCAAACCTCATTAAACTTCGTCATTCGCATTCCTAAGCGTACCCCAACACCTCATACTCTGCGAAATCACGGGTACGGAGAAAGGCATCATGGCAATGGTTGAATTCTTGAAGGGATCCGATGCTTTCAAGAAGGGAAAGGCAGAGACAGGACGAAGAAGAGGTCATAGGGAGAGTAGAGGAGAGGGAGGAGATGAGGGTGAGAATGGGTGAGAGAGGGTAGAGGACGGTGAGGCCTTGAGGGGTTGTGGGATGCTTGAGGGAATCATGGACGCTAATCGGACGCAAGCACAAGCGGAAACGCCCCCGGGCCAATCAATAGACCAGGATCACCAGAGTTTATTATTAGATCCGGAGGGACATGAAACAGAGGCGCTCGATGATGCAGCTAGCTACTTTTGTAAGTTGTACGTCAACCTGATTTCTGGGGCTTGTGCCACAGGGTGAGGCCTGATAATCACACCGGCGTGCGCACTGACATATCTCTTTGCTGGACAGGTGAAACCTGCGCGGGATCCATTGCGACACAGATATGTTCTTTTTACTGCAATGTTCATTTACAACAGTATACCTCCTGCAGACCTGCACGTTGATATCATATCAGTCGTGTCACACACATAAATTTTTTTGATGACAGACGTGCTGTACTAGTGTTCAAATGGAAGCCACTGCATGCACGTTCAACGTTCACCGTTGAACTGACTTCGGGCCGCGGAAACCATCAAGTCTCACGTTTTCTGAAGCGAAGTCTTCGCTTCACTGAAAGTTTACCATGTGAGCTTTAACAGAGGCGCTCTAACAATAAACAAGGGCTGGTTTATCGGTATGAAAATAGACACTACCGGCCGGCTACTCGTACTATACCATTTTCCCTTTTCTCACACGACAACATTCTTGCGCCCGGAGCGAGCGTATTGCACAAATCGTCTTCGAATCTCTTATCAGTTCGATTATGTACAGCGGTCACCGGTCAGCTCTGCATGCAAGGTACCGCGTCTTAACAGTTGCCATTGTTAAACACTCTCTCACATTCCTGACCCTCATCAGGTCTAATCTTTAACATAACATAACATAACGTCCCTTGTCTGAACCTGACCCTCAAGTAATTATTATCTCTCACTCAAAATGGAATTTTGATTAAAGCATCATCAGGTCCGCGAACTCAACGCGCAAACTTAGGAGATCACGTGATTGTTTGTTCATGAGTTATGCCAAACTAGTAGGGTACTAACGCCTACTAGCCTTTACACAATATCACACACTGACCTCGACCACGAAAAAGCTGCCGAGAGGACACTGCATGCCACGGAGTCAGCGGGGCTGAACTCTACTAGCGCTCTGATTTATGTAAGTTTTAGGATCGACCAGGGCCTAATAATAAACAAAAGCAGCTAAGGAGATTCTGGTATGTACTATGGCTGTAAAAGCTGTATTCGAACTCAAACATTCGTAGCCGAAACTTTTCATGAACGCACGGGATGAAACTCTTCGGTCCCGAGGACAGTTACAGCTCACTCCGTATCTTGAATCAGCGAGTTTTCGAGGTCCTTTGATTTGACATCAGGCTTCATGATGCGAGGTGGAGGCAGCGAGAGGCTGCAGGAGCTTCTGGTATCGGTGTTGTTGGCAGGCAGATGAGTCACTTGCGCAATATTGGACGCAGTCTGTCAAATCATCAATCTGAGCCAGAGAGATATCGTGGAAAGCTCGACCGAACTGGCGCTTGCTAGCAGACTGGCACGACAGCCAGGTGAATCATGATCGAGCGGTGCTAGAGGTCTTGATTTCCGTCTGCTGTAAGTCAGGTACGTTGTCATCTGATCTCATTTATTGAGAGTTCATAATTTTTCTTGCAGCTTCGGAAGTTTTTAGAAATGATAAAAGGCCACCGACTACGCTGCAAAGCCTCAGCTTCATCGTACATCCTTTCATCGAGCTTGTACACTCAGAGAACTTACATTCGACGAGAATGGCTACCACCACAGCTTCCTCCTTCATTAGCTCTGTGATCCTGCAGCCCCTCATCGTGGCGATCAGCAGCGCTGTGTACTCATCCCTCCTATCCTACGAGATGGTTGGAAACCTTGACTGGAGGCCGGTAAGTCCTTTGTTTGTGGATTTCACAACCTTTCTGATCACGCTGCACAAAAGATCGTCATATGCGCGACATCTGATGTCCTTGTCATCGCGGCTGACCACCTGAAGGATCAAGAAATTGTCACCGGTACTCGAGGCGCGGCTGTCATAAAGCGCTTTACCCCCCTTGCGCGTATCTTTTTGGCGTTGAATGCGTCGCTGCTCGTGGCAGCTTTAAGTCTCAGTCCGCCGAAAGCAACGCTCTTCACCGCAATTTTCACTTCCCCAGCTTTTCTGTGGACGACCCCGCTTGATCTTTCGCGGATCGGCACAATGCTGAAGAGACTCATAGGGACAGATTATAGTCAAGAAGTAGACAAAGCTCACAAACCGTTCATCATCAAACGGGTTCCTGGCATGAAGGCTTTTTTCAGCGGTACCATTCGAAGGTATGTGCTGTCGCATCCTAACGGTTTCTGGTTTCTGACTTGAAGACAGCTGTGGGGTGTTCTTAGTCGTCCACTCGGCGCTGCAGTCCTCGTTGACATCGACCCATAACGCACTTCCATGGACGATCGCCGAGACTCTCATTTGGTCGATGGTCAATCGCACCGGTCATTGTGTAAGACAGATTTTTTATTGTAAATGTACTCGCGACTCAAGGTGTCCTAAAGATTATGTCGGACGTGCGCGACTACGACGAGGACAAGGAGGCCGGAGTCCCGACCATACCGGTCCTCCTAGATTCTCTCCTCAAGACTCGGATGATCTTGACCGTCGTTCACGCAGCCATTTTGACGGCCTTCCGCCACAATCCGTTTATTGTGGCAAGTTCCTGCTTCGCAATTGCTCTTGTTTGGATTCTAGGGAAAGATACTCCGAAACCTTACTTCCGTCTTAGTCTTCACTCACAGTCGATCTTCATTGTTACGTACGCTGTTTTGCTCGCTTTTGGTTTGGTTTAGACCACTATTGCACATCTTAGGGGCTATCGAAAGGTTCTCAGGGTGGATCTTCGGTGTCGGTTTTTTTTAAAGTCTGTTTTGTTTGCTGCTGTACGTCATGCATGTGGATCTTTGGTGTCGGTTCGATTTATGTATGTTTTCTGTATTAACTAGCTATAGTAGTCTCTAAATGTCACGATTACTGGACAGCGGGCCTCTTGCCCATCCAAATACTTCGACTCTTCCAGTTGGGAAGGTTATGCTGGGTTTGAAGGATAGTGCCGCATCCCTAGCGATCTGACAGAGGCGTCATTAGAATTCCTAACGTTTCAACAAAATTCGAGAACGCCGTCGCTCAAAAAGCTAGCTCCACAGCGTGTGCCACTCCGATAAAATCGTACCCCTTGAAACTCGATCAGAATGAGGTAGATACGTGTCGATATAGATCGAAGAAAATAGATTTTATCGTACCAAGCGGACTTCGGCCGGTGTGACAGTCTGTCCGTTACTATTAGTGACATATCATCGGGTGACTAGGACCGCCGCATCTAGTTCTATACATAGTACATTCATTTTGCTTTCATAAAAAACCAAAACCGTGCACCGTGACATACCTCCCGATATCAGCCGTGTCATCAAGAAGCACGTAAAGTTCTTTGAATGGAGACAGACGTGCAGTGTTTATCTCCACCTTAGCGCCACCTGCGGAACGACCAGTCGACCAAAGTCTCACGTGAAGCGGATTTACCTCGAAGTTGCTTCTCTTCGGCGGTAGAATTTAGCTACTTTTGTAAGTCACATCATGACTGACAAAAGTAGCTAGCATGAGCGCCTCTAACAGGTTAAACGTTACACAGGCGATCCAACGATAAACAAGGGCGACTAATTCTGGTATACGGTTATTCGTACTGCACCGTTTTCCCTCGAATTCTCGCACACTAATGCAGCTCGCAGAGCACCGCGTCTTGATAGTTTCCGTTGTTCAATCATCTCGCTCACATTGCTAACCCTCATCAGGCTTAACCCTTACATAAATACCCTGAACCTTTCTCTAACCTCAAGTAATCATTGCACAAATTTTGAAAACAAAGTGATCACGTGATCGTATTGTGTATGAGTTATGCCAAACTAGGGTGCTAACGCCTATAGCCTTTACACAATATCCTCTTGTCATTATGGTATTTACTCGCCTAGGAAAACACCGCATGCCACGGAGTCAGCAGGGTTGAACTCTACTTGTACTAGTCTCAATGGAGTAGGATTGACTAGGCCTAATATTAAACAATAAACAAGGGCAGCTAAGGGTATGTCGATGAAACTATAGCTGTAAAAAACCGAACTCAAACATTCGCAGCCGAAACTTTCTATGAACGGAAGGAACTGTCTGTCAAAACATCAACCTGACCCAGGGAGATGTTGTAGAAAGCTCAACCGGACTGGTAGTCGCTAACAGACCGGCGCAACAGCCAGGTGATCGACCATCGTAAGACTCGGTCTTGACCGTCGTTCACGCAGCCGTTTTGACGGCAATCCATTTATTGTGGCAAGTTCCTCCTAGACCACTATTTATGCACATCTTAGGACCAAACTATTCTTAGGGGAGAACTCGAGTCGAAGGACATATTTTGAATTTTATATTTGGCCATCTCGACAGTCGAATCATATGGGATTAGTTCATGAATAGGAATAAGCGAGTCTGCAGGGGCTGGCGTCGTTGGGTGTTAGACAACGAAAAAGCACGTGTACCACTCCGACCAACTCGTACCTCCTATCAACATATTTCACGCAATGCTAGGGGGTTCATCTTGAAGCATACACTATTGATTTGGACAAATGAATTCTACAGCAGTGATGGACAAACCGAAAGCAGACGTCATAATCCTACAAAACTGCACACACAACACGCCAAAGTTTTCACAACATGGACTTTCGTTGACCAGCGTGCAAATCATACAGATCAACCGCGGCCCTCGCAATCTCATTCATGAACTCCTGGTTTGGCATCTCCTTTCGTGAGGTGACGGTAAATTGCAGACGGTCTGTGTATAGATGTGAAACTCGGCACACCTAAATTTTCAACTTGAACGTACCGTCGTATCCAGTCATATATGCCACCCCAAAGCCCTCCGGTACAACTTCACCCCATCCATACTCAGGAAAGTGGTCCGAGAAAACGGCACTCGTGCTCAGGACCCAGGTTCCGGAGCGTTTGTACAAAGGGTCATTGTACAACTCTGGAACTGGCTCGCCTTCTCTCAGGCACATTTTCATTCCTATTTTGCTCGTCAACATGCAAGACACGTTCCAAGAAGACAAGGGTGACTCACCCAACATGTGCCGATCCACTCCTTCTCCGGACCCTGCTGCCTTCGCCAGTAGAATGTGTGCTTTGCCAGCAGTATCAAAAAGCTGTTTCCGGTCCTCACAGCTGACACGAGGGTCATCCATCGCCGAAACAAAAGCATCCGATTGCGAGGTGACGACCCTGATTGTTTCCGTCCGGCCTTTCCAGTATCTACGTGTAGTCGCTGCCTCGTAGGTCCCTCCTTCCCTCTTCAGTCCGCGTGCACGGAGTAAGCGGGCATACGCCAGTTGGATGATCATCTGGGCCCATGAATCGGGGGACACACGAAATGCCTTGATGGCAGCCTTGCCATAGGATGTGAGGTGGTATGACATTGACTGTGAATCAGCAAGCTCGTATGCAGCTTTCGACGCCTTGTCGATTGCGGCACGCGTCGTGTCGTCTACCACGAAATCTAATGGTTCGGGTTTTGGCGGTGGAATCGCAGACGGCGCCCCGAGGTCAAAAGCAGGATCAGCGAGCCAGTCGAGCACCTCATCGCACATACGAACAGTAGGTGTGCCGTCCATAACGGAATGCTCGCCCATGAGACCGGCACGTGCGTTGTCGAAAACGATAAACTCGACAGGTTTATCAACCCAGCGGTTCTTCAGACCAGTTGCATCCAATGTGGATGGTGAGAGCGAACCGTGCCAGAGAGAGCGGCTGTTAGCGATGGGAGAGGAGGGCGTGTCGGTGTCAAGGGAGATGAGGAAGGCAGAGGAGTGTATTGTATGCAAGATGGATGCGTTATGTGGGTCCGCGGCCAGGTGGGCATGGTCCTAACATTGTTCAGGGGGTTTCACGAAGAACGTGCATAGATTGATGTACCTTGGCCCATACGTCACGGTTTGATGCAGTCAACACGCCAACTCCTGAGTATTCTTCGGTGGTAGAATCGTAAATATATTGTATTTGTCTGTAGTGAACATTAGTTTGGGATACAAGCAGCAAAGCGGGAGGTACACACTTCTCTAACTCAGTCATGCTGAGTATTCGCCCATTTATGATACCCTTGAGCTTCCAGAACCTGTTCCTCCTGACAATAATGATATGGCCTAATTCATCTACGCCGAAACCCGCGTGAGATACACTCCAGTCGAGACCGTGGAGACCAGGTATACGACAGCAGTCAAACATCCATCTTCATAAGAGGTTAAGGATGAAAACAACTTCGATGTTCCGTCACGTACCGATACGTGTCCATACAGAATTGACCCTCCTTTGTTCTGTCAGGGCTCACCTGACCACTTAGCAACTTCTGCCGAAATATGAGGGCTCCACGTGCAAGGCCAGCAGCACGAGCAGCAGGGCTTTGCGGAAGGTGGGCAGGTTGCCCATCGAAGCCATCTGATATGAACCGTCAGAGCCGAAGACACGAGGAACTGTTGTACAGCTCACAGTAATATGAAACATTCACCACAACCTGCGCACGTGTTAATTTAGTGCCTTGTGCAGTGGAGCTGGGCATACCGAATCTCGATAGCCCAAGTAGCCGAGATCATCCCACCACTCCTCCAGCCAATGTTCGCGTTCACTTGCACGTTGCAGGAGACGAGACTGCAATAGGCTCCCTGACCCAGCGTGTGATCCGAATGCATCAATCTTCTTGACAGCATCGGTGAATTCAGCTTCCGAATGTGCCAACGGTAACAATGACGTTTTCAGTCGCTCGAGAGTAGCAGTGAGATTTGGAACTGGCAAGCGAGGAAGAGAATCATGTTGGGCCGCGAAGTTGGGTATTGGAGGGGCAGCTGCTTTCCAGTCAACTGGACGTGGCCCGGTGAGAGACGGCATGTGGATCTTTCTGAATAATAATGGTCTCCGACGAACTTTGAAGGGAGGGAGCCTGGCAAGCATTGGGCTAGAGAAACGAGTACTGCAACGCAATGCAACTTATTTGAATCTATCTGAATAGTATCCGAGTCCGATGCGACTATCACGAGCGTCGCTGTTACGACTCACGTGTTTGTCGAAAGTAAGTTAGCCGGAGCCTTCCATAGTTGACCTCGAACTTCATCCCGCCAGTATCTGTCAGCCTTGATGGATTGATTACGTCTTCATTTCTCTTAAATCCTCCTGGTTGAAATACTCGGTTAATGCGAACTTGAAGCACCCCTCGCAAATTGCAAGAGCCTCTGGATTGACCAACTTGAATCTTACTTACAGAACGACTGTCTTCCTTCTAATGATCTGCACACCGGGGACTAACTTGCGGCCTTTCCGATGCCTTGCCGCATATTATCTCAATCGACGTACGCGGGCCTGAAGCGTTTTGGGGTATCTTCGCCATCCTCACCTCCGGTGTAGGTACTGGAGGCGTCGTTCATTCAACGTTGGCTCACCATCTTGTAGTAAAAATTGCTAGACGGTGAGACATAACTCAGAAGGTCAGTGTCATTTACTTTATTTCATGATTTTAAGCCCTTCTGAGCGTGAATTCTAAGTTCTTGTAACGAAGCTCGAAACTATTGCAATTGCGCATCATCAATATTCATTATGGTCCTTCCCTATACATGCATCGTCTTGAAGTACTACTTTTCTTTCCTCAGATTGTAGAAACAGTCTGCTCGTTTTCCCTTGTGGTGAAACTATTCCCCGATGTGTAGAAGAAGGCTCGGGCTGCTGTTATGGTGCTTTTTCCGTATTCAATGTTTTAACAGAAAATATTGCCAGGTTCATGCCCATTAATCCGCGGACATATGCCAACCCCTTGCAATTCAACGTTCAACGTTAACGCTCAACCCTGAAGGCTTTACCAATGGCCAAGAACGGAAAGAAGCCTGAGACAGAGCCCCACAAAATATGCTTCAACTTCGCAAGACGGTAAGTATGATGTTTGTTTTTAGTACCATGCTGAGTCCTGACGCTTTGCCCCCCAGTCTCTCAGATGTCCAGGTATGCACGACTCATAGAAGCACCGAATATATCATGGAAATAGTAAAATTTTCTCTCTGATTCAGCATGAACGCCTTCTAAATCTCGTCCCTGGGCGTCGTTAGCAACGGAATATAGAGCCTTAAGTTAGTCCTGATGATGTGGCATGGCCTACTTCACGGTTGTAGGCCTTTTGTACAGGTACCGGTTGCCGTCTTGATGTCTTGTTATTCATGCTTACGTCACTCTATCGTATCTTCCCTCATCAAATACAACCTGCGATATAATATTATCATGGAGTCCATGCCGATACTTATGTGGGTTCACAAGCAAACTTAAGAAGTTCAGATATTCATCTGAAGGCGATTGAATGTGGATATCGAACATTTCCGTTGATCTCCACGCCAATCAAACATTGTCCAACTCTCTTAGTATGATTCGTACCACATTTGCATCGTTCCTATGATAGTCTCTAGTAATTTCCAGCATCCACAGAACCAAAGCGCACCGAACGACTAAAAAGGAAAAAGCGATGGACTTGTGGTCTCGCACACAATGCGACACTATTGTTGTGGATGGTGCCACAATTCATGGGTGAGTATTTAAGGCATCAAACCAGCTCTGTCTCTTAATCACATCATGGAACCTACTCCCATCTCATTCAGATTTAGCGACCTTCCAGCTGAGCTCGCTCTCATCATATTCAAATATGCTGCACAACCAGATTTTACTCAACCTAACACTTGGTTTACCAAAAATTCATACTCGTCCGCCCTTAAAATATCTCTCGTCTCCAAAATTGTCAGGCGCACTGTGCTTCCAGAACTTCTGCACACAGTGTTATTGCCAGAAGTTCACCACGTGGCAGCTTTCATACAGGCTTTACGTATGCAGAAAACATACGTCGATCAACAACAGTATGATCTATCTCTTGATTACACATCTCACGTGCACAGGATGTGGTTCGGATATTTTCGTGGGCCTTTGTCAAACCCACAGCCTACCTTCATTAGCAGCTCTATCCCTTCTGCGACTAAGCCTGACTCAGAGTCAGATGTCAGCTTGCTGGCTCCGGTAATCCTCGCCGTACCGTCCCTCGCGATTGAATGTGCGAGTCTGCATGTACTTTCAGATTGCCTCAAGTATGCGTGTAACTCCGATGTCGACTTGAATATCGACCACAAAGATTCCCCGCTTCCTTGGAGCACGAAAAGTTTGACGCTATCGGGTAATGTCACTTCTCGATGGTGGCCCTTCATAGGGTCTATCCATGGATATACTTTCCTCACTTCCATCCAACACCTCACCCTACTTGCTCCCTCACCTTACGAGGTGCCTTCGTGGATGGCACGGGCTCCTTTCAAGCAACTTCAGACATTTTCGATGCTCATTTCACACGGGAAACCTCCGGTCGCTGAATGTGCCCCTGCGTGTAGTGCCACAACGACACGGGTAGAACTGGTTACGTTCCCTGCTTCCCTACTGCCGGACCATTGGACATTCAAGGAAATCAGGGCGTATATAGAGAATGGGGTGGGAACCATGCCATCTGTTCCACTACCAGTGCCCCGTTCTGGCAACTTGTGTACAGTTTGTCTGGATTGCCAGAGTATTTGGGCAAGTGGATGTGAGGGCCCCGGGCGAATGGTACGAGTGCCAGACTGATATATTATGCATATATGTACTCGTTCCCAATGGGTTGTCTGATGTATTGTACACTACTACACTTGGACATGATCAAAACTTTTGTTATTTTTCTGACTTGGCTGCTGCGACCAATTCAATAGCAAGTACTAGTCGTTTAATTCGTCTCAAATTCCACGTCGGCGGTGAGCGAGCAATTCCCATAAGAAACGCTGAGAGCTGCGAATGACCGATGGAACGTCGGACATCAGAAGACACTAGTGACTATCTGCAGCAGATGTGGTTCTTGTTCTTCTTGCGATCGCCACTAGCCCATCAAGGATTGATTGATTGATTGATTGATTGATCACCTTGATCATATGCACATGCAGCTAGTACACTTCAAAGCTTCAAGTTCGGTTCGTGAGGTCAGCTGGCATTATAGTGAATACGGCTGATCAAAAACTCACTCGACCCTCTGCCGAGTTGTAGTAGGCGCGCAAGGTAGCCTTGATCATGACCTATGTGCGCCGACACAGATGAGATTACCATCCTTCAGGTGGGATCAGCTCGTTCCTAAACTCCTGTTGGCGGTCTCATGATTGAAGACATCCCCTCCGTAATCTAGCAACACAATCGTCCAGCGAAGCGGATCCTTTCTGGAGTCACATCAGCGATAAATTGCAACCGTTGATGGGTATGATCTGAGGCAGCTCAAGCACTGGTATCAATACGTGCCCCTCTTCAGAATCTGGTATACGTTATCATATAATATCGTCCCGGAACGCGTGGTTCCTGACTTGTCTCATTCTCAGACAGTCCTGCCATTTCAGTTGCTTGTCACTTTTGCGATATAGACTGCGGCGCTCACCCAGAAATATCCGAGGTGGCTCAGAGACCAGTGTCGCAGGATGCCTTGCGGAAAAGATTCATAGTGCAGGAAGACTCGGATGGGAAGACCTGAGAAGACCCGCACGAACTGAGGAAGTTGACGAGACCAGATTCTCATTTGGCGACGTCCGTACATAATGCCAAGCCTAGTGAGTTTAGTTTAATGCTTCAATTGCTTGTGGACCAAGCGCAAGAGGCCTCCTCTCTGAGTTGTTCTCAGCGCAATGCCTAACCATTCTTGCTCTTTTTCCCCCGTAAGAACTCAATATTCTAGGTAAGTGCCCGTCGGCTTAAAGTCCTCGCGTAGAAGCCTTGTCTCTCCTGACCTTGAATATCAATAGGGTTCGGGAGAGAAGCTCTTACTACGAATGATAACCAGTACAAGTCGAACTCCGAGTTTCTGACCCCGAGGACATACTCGCACCCCTTCGGACTCTTGCCACGGTCCTATGCTCAGGCTCTGAGAGTTCTCATTCAGAACGTAAGTGCACAATGACGAAATCGTTTCTACTCGGCCCCGCGTGATGGAGAAGATAACGCCATGCAAGCAAAGTCTCTTCTCCACAACTAGCTAGCCTGAGATCGCCCTATCGTAGGCAAAAGATAGTCGTTCCTTACAACTAGCCAAGTTTGGGGTTCCCGGCGGGACTCCTGCGAAGTAACCGAGTCCCGGTTTGGCCAAACGTAGATTGCCAAGCCTGCGGCGCCCTCGATTACAGTTTGGTAGCATGTGCTCTCTCGCCTGGCAAGTGTCTAGAACATCAATTAGTGTTTTGCGCAGGCGGCTTAGTCCGATGGCGTGTCCTTTCATAAGTGGAGCAGTAAGGGTGAGTCCAGACTTACAGCATCTGGCCGCACCTGAGCGAACGAGACTTCTGCTTCTCCTTGAACCGTATGGGTAGTTAAAGCAGGCCATGCGTGTAGAAGCGAAGCTTTTAGTGGTGAGTCTATTCCAGCAACAGTTCTCTTTCAGACTCGCAAATGATAGCAGATAATGACCAATTACCAACAGGGAACCCCCTGACCTGCTGACTCTTGCCATTACGAGACGGTCCGAGGAATGTCTGCAAAGACCGAGCCTTGCCGCGATCTAGAATTAGTCGAGCGCCCGCGCTACAAGATGAAACTATGATTCCAGGTTCCTAGTCAACCCTTGGCCTCGAAGCAAGTACCTTCCTTTTTAATTCTTTAGCGGAGCAAGTCCCGAGCAACCTTGCTTTTAAGGCGGGGCCGAAGCCCACTCGACCAGAATGAAGGCGTCTGTAGTATGTCACAAACGCGGTCAACATTGCGGTACGAGCCGCGTAATGAGCACTAAGTGTCAAGAGGCTATGTTTTTTGTCAGGTAGGACAACAGCCTGTAGTCATCTTTCTTTTTCATACTCCGGTACATCCATGTGTTCTGCGTGTGTTTCATGGAACGTGAATATTTGGAGTTGGTGGGCTTCGTGCGAGTGTCAGTGTCGGGAAGACTGATCCGTGTTGCCAATGCAAGTAGGAAATCATGTGGAGAATTCACCAATGACGTTTTCGATACTCTACGTAAATCAAACTGTATCTTGACCGTAACTTGTATTTCTACATTCAGTGCATCAACGAAGTCGCCGCGGTGGTCGCCGCCATCATCGATCACTACATTGTCTTCGCCGTCGTTAACGCTGAGGAAGAACGTGTGAGCGAATTAGCGGGCGATAACCAAACTTGGTGCAACTACAGGCCGAAAACTGAGTCTTGTGTGATCTCTACCACGCAGCCAACGCCAGCACCAGTGACTCGTACGTGATGATAACTCTCTTGTTTACCAACTGTCCACGATTACCCTAGAGCACTGATTGTCAGATACGGGTGCGATGGACAGGCCAGCTGGGCCCCGCCAGCCAGACAAGCGAAATGAAGCATACGAGTCCATCTTCGGTCGGCCATCCGCTTCTCACCACCAGGCAGGACAATATCCTGGCCAGCCTGTTGCGCAGCAGCTGCAATATGCACAGTCAGTACATGGCATGCCTGTGCATGGTGTCCAATACCACAACCAACCATACCCCGCACACTACCACCACGACAGGAGGACATCATACTCCCAACGTCAAAATTACTATCCAAATCACTTACCACAACACCCTCAGCAGCACCTGCAGTCACCATACAGGCAGTCATATCCACATACAGCTGCATCTCAGCAACAACTGCCTGCACACCACCATGCACAGCACACCCGTCCACACACTCTGGCGCCTCCCATGATCCATGGTCGTGCTAGATCTGTCGTCAGTTCACCCCATGCTGCTGGTATAATCTCACCGCTACCAGACGATCCGCCCGATGAATCCCTCGAGGCTCTTACGAGAGCAGGCCTCACCCCTGCACAGGCTTATCAGGCCCAAGTTTACCGTAATAGTCCTACCAATCAACAACAGCCCAACGAGCAGGCCAATTCCACAAGGGAACCCTCTTTGAACGGCAACCATCATCGTGTCTCTAACGACGTGCCCCTTTTGGGCGTCAATCTTGACCTCGAGGATACTCGCTTCAATATCGATTTTGGCACTGACGATCACCGAGGCCCAGAAGAGTCCACAAGCGAATTGCCATGGACCATTCCGAACACAGGTGCAAATGCAAAAGAATGTACACGTGGGTTCCACTCTCCCATATCTGGTCCCATTGCACAATGAGCTCATAATGTCCCCCTTCCAAAGCAATGGCTCCCCTCCCAAGGGCACAGCAATATCGACAAGCAAGCCCTCTTTCCATCGCATCTGATCAGAGTAATTCATCTGCCAGTTCACGACCACAACCCCTTCAGCTCGACACCACTCTCATGTCCACTCGTAATTCCCTCATCAGTAGTTCCCCTGCTTCATCCTCCTATGCTGCCGCTTCCACCAGTCGTCGATCCTCAGACTCTATCCGTACGATGCCTGGTGCTGCCTTTCGTCGTGACCGCACTCCACAAGATCGGTCCATGTCCATGTCAGCTGCTTCGGGCAGCATCCGCACTATGATCGATCGCGGCTCTCGCGCCCCGAACCCATTTATGGCTGGGGGTCGCAACAGCCCCACCACCTCTGCACGACCACCTCGCCGAACACCCATTGTATACCCTGCACTCCTCTCTCGCGTGGCGGAGGCTTTTCGTGAACGCATCAACCTCCAGGATCGTATTAAGGACGGTCTCACATACAAGGATGCCTTCGATGGTCGTGAGGCGGTCGACAAGATCTCATATATAATCAAGACTACCGACCGCAATCTCGCCCTACTTCTTGGTCGTGCCCTCGACGCACAAAAGTTCTTCCATGATGTCACCTATGACCATCGGCTCAGGGATAGCGCTGCAGAGCTGTACCAGTTCCGCACGAAATTGAGCCCATTCGTGAGCGGTGAGCTGCAGACAAACTTTGGGGATAGGGATGATGACGGTGATTTGAAACCGGAGCGGCCATCGCCTGGCCCTCAAGATTGTGGATCGGGGCCCTTTGGACAGGGATCGAACGACTCGCATGGTGACACACAGGAGAAGGACGCTTCACCTATTGTCGAGATCCCTGATCCGCGTGGACCCCAGGGATCAGAGAGTGTCGATGAGATGCCCCTTCCTTCGGGCGTTTTCACGCTTCTTACAGACTGCTACTCGCCGACGTGCACGCGAGATCAGCTGTGCTATAGTATCGCATGCCCTAGGAGGCTTGAGCAGCAGTCACGACTGAACATGAAGCCACAGCCTGGGCTCAAGAAGCAGATATCGAGGGAGAGCTTGGGTGACTTTGTGGTGCGTGTGATACAGACATCCTTTCCTTAGCGCTGATTACGTTCCATCTGGGCAGGAACCTGGTACGCTATGGATACACTCCGTCCCGCAAGAGGTCGTCAACAGTGTCTCCGACGCCGAGAAAAGGCGCCAGGAAGCTATTAACGAAGTCATATACACGGAACGTGACTTTGTCCGCGACATGGAATACCTTCGCGATGTGTGTCTTTGTACTTTATACTATCTCGTGGATTAATCTTCTGCACAGGTCTGGATAAATGGGCTGAAAGACAGTGACATCATCCCCGCTGAACGTCGTACGGACTTTGTGACACAGGTCTTCTGGAACATCCACGAAATTATCGCAGTAAATACCCGCCTTCGAGACGCGCTCAACAAGCGACAAAAGTCATACGCTGTTGTGGAGCGCATTGGGGATATCCTTCTTGATTCTGTGCCGCATTTCGCGCCCTTCGTAAGTTACGGTGCTCACCAACTGTATGGCAAGTATGAGTTCGAAAAGGAGAAGAGCTCCAATCCAGCGTTTGCACAGTTTGTGGAGGTGAGTCGACTTTTCCATCATGGTTTTTCTTGGTGGTTGATGCGGTTTCTTTAGACTACGGAAAGATTGCCAGAGTCACGCAAGCTTGAGCTCAATGGATACTTGACGAAGCCGACCACGCGATTAGCTCGATATCCACTGCTTCTGGAAGCGGTCTTAAAGCACACGCCTGATGATAACCCAGACAAGCAAACGCTTGCGCAGGTGGTTATCATGGTCCGCGAGTTTCTAGGGAAGGTGAACGTAGAGACGGGAAAGACAGAGAACCGTTTCAACCTTCTACAACTAGACCAGCAGCTCGTGTACAGGCCAGGGGAGCAAGTGGTATGTGTCCACTTCGTCATGGCGATGTGTTGCTGACAATGTTCGATAGGACCTGAAGCTGCAGGATCCTGGTCGCGAACTCGTATACAAGGGTGCTCTGAATAAAAGAGGTGGTGGGCAAGGGGACAGTGGAGACCTGCTTGTATACCTCTTTGACCACGCTCTACTAATGGTGAAGCAGAAGAGCAAACACGAACAATTCAAGGTCTATCGACGAGTAAGTGCCTGGATCCTATAGTGAATACCTGTTTCTCAGCCTTATCCGCACCGCAGCCGATACCCCTCGAGCTCCTCTTCGTGCACGTCACAGATGAATCCAATAACTCCAATCGTCCTGCTAACGCTCGTCAGGGGCATAAAACGCTCACGAAGAAACCCAGTTTCAACCGAGGTACACCGTACGCGCCTGCCATTCCAATTAAAGTCGATGGCAAAAGTGGATTCGCCATCACGTTCATACATCTAGGGCGCAAGTACTACCAGATGACGCTTTGGGCAAGCACATTTGTAAGCCACCGCAAATGGGTCGAAACCATCACGAAGCAACAGGAGTCTCTCCGTGAGCGGAGCACAGTGTTTGAAACAATCACCTTGTGCGAGGGCTTCTTCCTCGGGCAGAATAGGGTAAATTGCGCTGCGCCGTTTGGTGAGTGATTCTGGTGCATACTCCGTGGAAAAAGATGTTGATGGGATGTAGCGTACGGAAGGAGAATCGTGTATGGGACAGATGACGGAATCTACCTGTCGGATTTGAATCATCCAAACAGGGACCCAGTCAAAGTGCTGGCTCTACTGGATGTTTCTCAAGTCGATGTCCTGGAAGAGTTTCAATTGCTCATAGTACTTTCTGGTCAGTCTTCATCATTTCCGCGTGGTATTTTGTTTACAGGCTTTGCTCTAGAACGACAAGTCATCACATTCCCGCTAGACGCTCTCGATCCCATGGACCCAATGTCTGGCTTGAAGCGGGCGAAGAGGATATCGTCGCACACGACATTCTTCAAGGCTGGCATTTGCCTAGGAAAAGTCCTTGTTTGTATCGTCAAATCGAGTCCGCTGTCTAGTACGATTAAGACATTGGAACCAATTGACCAGAACATTCGCGGAAGGAGTAAACCGACGTTCCGTAAGATTTTGCAAGGCGGGAATGATACGCTGAAGGCGTTCCGAGTAAATTTTCTCATGTGTATGGTGTCCAAGTAGCTCATTTCGCCGCAGGAATTCTACATTCCCGTGGAGTCGAGCTCGATCCACTTCCTGAAAACGAAGCTCTGTGTAGGGTGCACGAAAGGCTTCGAGATTGTCGACCTCGAGAGTCTTGATACGCAGGGACTTCTTGATCCAGCCGACACTTCCCTTGACTTTGTACGGAAAAGAGAAAACCTTCGGCCGATGGCTATCTACCGAGTAGACAACGAGTTTCTGCTTTGTTATGATGGTAAGTGGCCAGAACGTCTCTCTTCCTGCGAATGACTCATCCGTTCCTAGAATTCGCATTCTATGTGAATAAAAACGGTTGGCGGTCCCGACAAAATTTCATGGTGCACTGGGAGGGGTCGCCTACTGGTTTTGGTATGTTCAGGCTCCAAGTACGTTGGGCCAGCACTAATTAGTTCAATCAGCCCTTCGTTTCCCATATGTTTTAGCGTTTGAACCTACGTTCGTGGAAATCCGGCACGTTGAAACGGGTCTCATGTCGCAAGTCATCCAGGGGAACAACCTCCGTCTTTTATTCGCTGACATGCCATCGTCGGCGACGCATTCAGGTAATGCGCAGCAAAACCAATACTACGGGCAGCAGATGTATAGTCAATATCAGCAGCCGACACCGTCACTTTATGGGCAGTCGTCGGTATACGGACAAGGATACAGTTCACCTGCCCATTCCCCCCAGTCTCAGCATGCACGCCTCATACCATCCGGGCGCGACGAGATCTTGATGGTTTCTGACGACCGCGTGTTAACATTACGAATGGCTGTGGGACAGCATGTTATTTGTGATACGGTATCGCTGGCGTCATCGCGATGACTGTAGGTATTTTGTTTTGCGTATGTTGTGATATTCAGATATGTTATATGAGTAACATCTTTTGTGATTTTGTCTGTTAATTCGTGATACTAGTACCCTCACCATAGCATATATTTCTATTGCATTTGTGTAGTTCAAACAATGAAATTGATCAATTGATATATAATGTCCATGATGCTCCGAGAATAGCGTTTCCAAGGGACGTTATTACCATTTTTAGATGACTGCGATCCCATTTTTGGCCCATGTTTTCTTTTATAATTATTTTTCTTGCTCTCTTTCACCAATCTTTGTCCCTCCCGTCACTCTTTTGCCTTTGTCTTGGCCAGGCCCATTCCGTCATGCAGCTGCAAGCTTTTGTCGCTCTTTTATCACTTCTCGGGGTCGCTAATGCCAATTCCGAACGTCATGCTCGTCTCGCAAAGAGACAGAATGCTGGGGCCGTCGTCACGGTTGGTTCGAGCTCTGCTAATTCGACTTCCTTATCATCCGGTGCCCCAACAACGAGCTTTACTTCATCGACTGCATCGGCCTTGGGTTCACCCGTGCCAACCACACCCGTTGGCACCACTATTCCTCCGCTCGTTAATATCACTTCCGGCATGGCGACCCCTTCAACAGTCCCTCTCTCTGCTACTTATTCCGCAGGCGCTACACCTTTAATTTCCGGTGCTCCAGTTTTACCTACTCCATGTAAGTTTTCGTATCCCTGCGTTTTTCAGCGCTGACAATATTGTGAATAGTCGTATTTCAAGCCGCAAACTGGCCTGCTCAGGACCAGATTGCACCTACTGGTTTGTGTTGTAAAAAATTACGATGAGTTACCAAGCGTAATACTATTATTACGCAGATTCCGACGAGGTTTCCGAATGGATGGAAGAACTCGATGGCTTCAATATACCCGATATCACTCCTACCGTAGATGGCACTTGCGTAAACGACGCAGCTGCTGCCGCAGACGCTGCTAGTCGTGGTTGGTGGACTTGCGGTGGTTATACCCGTGTTACTGATATCACCGCTTGTCCGGATAAGTTGACATGGGGCGTCAGCTTTGATGATGGCCCAGGTTTCTACAGTATGTGCATTTTTCTAGCATTGTATCACTTAAAGTTGATGTTTTTGAATAGCTCAGTGTGTTATTTTTGACATTCTTGACTGTATTTTTCTTATCGATTGACAGGGAGCTTCTTGACTACCTGGCTTCCAAGAACATGACCTCGACGTTCTTCGTTATTGGTTCTCGTATCGTCGAGCGTCCTCAGGTTCTTGTGGAGGAGTATATGTCTGGGCACGAAATCGCTGTGCACACCTGGTCTCATCGCGTACGTTTGGTAAAATCACTCTTGCGTATGCGGCTAATCGCGCAATAGCCTCTTACCATGCTTACAACTGCACAAGTCGTAGCTGAGCTGGGTTGGGCACGTAAAGCTATCAAGGATGTCATTGGTGTTACTCCCACATTGATGCGTCCCCCTTACGGCGACATCGACGATCGTGTTCGTGCCATTTCCCTGGCCATGGGCATGGTCCCCGTTATCTGGACTAGCACTGGTACTGGCGCAACGTTTGATACTAACGGTTAGCTATCTCAATTTTATGCTTGGATCTCGAACTTAGATTTATTTTAATCGACAATAGACTGGAAGGTTCCTGGCGGTGTGGTCACAGGTCCTCAGTCCTATGCCACCTTTGAGGCTATTCTAGCCAACGCAACTATGCTGAACACTGGGTAGGTGCAGTTCGGGTTACTTTCGTTCGACTTCACTCATTTTCACCTAGATTTGTTGTTCTGGAGCACGACTTATATGCACAAACTGTCGATCTTGCTATTGGCTACACGTTGCCTGCTGCTATGAATTTTACCCCTACGCTTACTGTTCGTAATCTCCCTTATGTGCAGACAATTATCTGACCCTCGTTATGCAGCTCGACTCCATTGGTCACTGCAACGGCATTCCAAGTACGAACCTGTATCGCGAGAGCAACCAAAACACAAGCTTCCCCTACCCAAACAGCACTAGTGGTGACACGTCCGTTCCTAGCGGCTCAGGCGGGAAGGGTAGCACCAGCGCAACTTCTGGTACTTTATCGAATGCCATAATGCCTATATCTATGGTCGTTGCTTCATTGTTGGCTGCTGGCGGCTCCCTCCTCATGTGACCTGACGGATATACCATTTACGCAAACTTGACTAATCTAGACAATGATGGACGTACGGCAGCTGTATATATATTTCGCCCCCTTTGTGGACAAGTATGTTTTTGTGGATGCTGCTCTATCTACTCTGATTCTAAGTACCCCGTTTTCTCTGTTCAATATGTTGTATTTTGTGTGAAATTTGGGACAGAGGTTTTTGCAGAGAGCAATAAACCTCTGACATGAACTTGCTGGCAGATAAACATAGTACTTGCGGTAATAGCCGATAATAAGGCTTGGATCCGGAAGACAGTTAAGTTACGGTTGCTGCCAGCCATATCGATTCATGGCTTCACTCGTCACCGCTGTTCGCTCAAGTATGCGCGCTGCTTTCTTATAACCCAGCGAGCGCTAATGTACATATCACAATTGCAGAATTACTTCAGGCAATTAGATCCGTGAATCCCCCTGGACGATGGAAGATTCTTGTGGTGGACGAACACTCACAGAAGCTGCTAGGTTCAGTTCTTAAGCAGTTCGATATCCTCGAGGAGAATGTCACTTGTGAGCCCTTGTCAGTCGGATAACTCAATTAGCACTAACAGCCACATGGGTCAGTGATCGAGTCAATATCCTCTCACCGGGAACCGCAGCAGTTTGAGGCAGTCTATCTACTCATGCCGACTACGCAGAATGTCAATCGCATCATCAAAGACTTCAGTGACGGCCGCCAGCAGTATCTTGGGGCTCACTTATTCTTCGTCGATGGTGCGCTTTCTCATCTGACTTCCGTGCCAGTTGCATCGGTTGAGGACAGGCGTGTGCTTTAGGATTGTCGGAAACCTTATTTGAGCACTTGACGACATCCCCTGCTGAACCGCACCTCAAAGGACTGCAGGATCTGTTTGTCAACTTCTGGGGTGAGTTTCGTGCGGAGGCCACTCACGACGAAGCTTGATGTTGATTAGGGTGCCTCCGTATGCAGCGACCGAGGCGCAAACTTTCTCTCTTCAGTCACCAGGACTGTTCTTTAACACTTATAGCCCACCACGAAATGAAGCTGCATTCAAGTCAGCGCGATTGAAGCTTGAGGAGGAGTTGCGGTTTGTTAGCAAAACTGTACGCAATCAAATGCAGGTGTCTGGAACCATGTTTATGAACTCAATTTTTGCAGATAGCAAATGTCTGCATCACACTCAACGAGTTCCCGTACGTTCGGTACTACATGCCAACTCACCACACTCCCCTTGGTCCCCTCAAACCCAATGACCAAACGCGCGCTCCTCCGCCTCCTGAAGGCAGTGGTCGATGGCGAACCAATCTGGCTCGCGGAGACGCTGCACGCGCCTACGAGGTTGCTGACACGGACTTCGTTACGAAGTTGCTTGCATTTATGATCCAGCAGAACCTGGATGAGTACCGGCGAGTCAATCCGGAGTTCCCTGTGAGTGCTTAACTTAGGTCACCTGTTGACTTGGACCGGCTTGTTAAATTATTATGATGGACAACGCTAGAAAGCTTCTGATCCTCCCCGACCCCGCGGTACGCTTATAATCACGGACCGATCTATGGATACTGTCGCACCGTTCATTCATGAGTTCACATATCAGGCTATGTGTAATGATCTGCTGCAGATAGACGACGGCACAAAATACATGTCCGTCTGCGCGTGCTGGTGCGAAAGTCCACTAACAATTTTACCCATAGGTACAAGTTCCAATCATCGGTCGGATCTTACGAGGACAAGATCGCCACCCTTTCTGACGCTGACTCGGTATGGACCACTGTGCGCCACATGCACATGCGTGAAGCGATCGACAAACTCATGGCGGATTTTAACAAGTTTATGGAAGAGAATGCAGGGTTCAAGGGGGAGGGCGCTGCCAGTCTCAATGACATGAAAGATATGCTTGCAAATTTGCCTCAATATCAAGAACAGAGAGAAAAGGTGAGTGTATGCGCGTGCCTGCCCGTATCAATGGTACTAATCTTGTGATGACATCCAAGTTCTCGTTGCATCTGAACATGGCGCAGGATTGTATGAACCTGTTTGAGAAGCACAAACTACCGCTGGTGGCCAACGTTGAGCAGGTAGCTGTGATACATTCTTTCGATGGACAAAACTAACGCATATCCAGTGTTGTGCTACTGGACTCACCGCAGAGGGGAAGACACCGAAAACTCTTGTTGAGGAAATGGTGCCCTTGTTGGATAGCCAGGAGGTCATGTGAGTATTCATATAACCCTTCTGGGTGGCTAGCCTGATAGTCTTGCATAGAAATGCCAACAAAGTGCGCATGGTCGCGCTTTACATCCAACACCGTGATGGTGTTCCAGACGAGGATCGCCGACGATTGTATCAGCATGCACGGCTGAGCATGACTGATCAGGACGCCGTCAATTCGTTGGTTCATCTCGGTGTTCGCATAAGCAGAGTACGCGTGTGGCAAGTGTAATTCATTATCCCACTCATGGTTGCACTCTAGGGACCTTCAGACAAGGATACGAAGAAAAAGCTCAAGCAAAAGACATCCAGCGACGATGAGTACGAACTCTCACGGTACCGACCTCTGCTTCGGACAGTCATAGAAGTACGAACACTGTTACATCTCACTGCTCTGTGCTGAATACTATCCCCCAGGAACACTCCGCCAACAAATTAGACCCCACGCTCTTCCCCTACGTCAAAGATTCGCCAATAGTTCTGTCACCGGCTGTAAGTCTCAAACAGACAACACCCCAAACCACGTCCCTACGCAGTGCGAAGCCTAGCTGGCACAAGGCTGTTCGGCCGAATGCTCTTGCGGAGAGCAAGCAACGTGTTATTGTGTTTGTGGTTGGCGGGATGACATACTCGGAGATTCGAGAGGCATACTCGTTGTCGACGTTGCTAAACAAGGATATCTACATAGGTATGTCATTTGTCTCATCAGGGGCTTCCCAGGTTACTGAAAGCTTGTCATCTATAGGCTCAACACACGCTATCACGCCCCGTAACTTCATCGATGATCTGAAAGTCGTTGAGATTGCGGGCGTCGGCTCACGTGCTGTGCCAAATGGTGTCTCGTTGGCAGTAGCACATAACTCATACCAAGAGTATTATGATGAGAAGTACTTCACACCAGACCCTCCTGTACCTCAACGACCCACACTTGCGGTGCCGAAGGACTCGAAACATTCCGCCAGCAAGCTTACGAAGACACCTTCATCATACTCAACGTCATCGGCGTCGCTGGTCGGCTCGGGCACGGTGGAAAAGGAAGAAAAGAAGAAAAAGAAGGGGCTTTTCCGTTTCTAATTCCCATCATACCTCTCCTACTTAACCAATTTTTCCACTCGAACCACCCACGGACGATATTCAACGACGCGGAAGTGTGTAGACTATAATAGGGTGACGTTAATGTACCTTTTGGATTATTTCGTTTCTTAGTCGTGGATAACCCTCGAATGCGAGATAAAAATGAGATACAATGCAAGCGGTATATTACATGTGGGTCTATGCAGAATACTCCAACTTGGCTGCGAATTGCTTGAGAAAATGTGACGAACTACAAAGAGCCTGGACTCACTCTCGTGCTTTTTAGCATCGCTGACCTTCCGTGCAGCTTTAGTGAGATCTTCTTGGACGATGTATTCTCTTCGCGGAAGTGAGCGAAAAGTGCTTGTCGTGACAAACTAGAACTCACCGGTCGTCCCTAATAGCGAACATGCCTGCTTCTGTCACCACGTTCCGCAGGTCAGCACCATTGAACGCATCCGTGAGCTGCAAGCTGGGTGAGATAAATTCTAGATGACAACAATAGAATCCACCTTCACGATTGCTTCATAATCAATGTATCCGCTCTTGTTCACGGGTTGTGCATGAATCTTCAAAATCTCTAGTCGTGCCTGTTCGTTCGGTAGAGGAATTTCAATCTTCCGGTCTAGTCGACCAGGACGAAGGAGAGCAGGGTCAAGAGTGTCTGGCCGATTGGTTGCCATGATGAGCTTTGTCCGTCCTAGGGAGTCAAAACCATCCATTTGGTTCAATAGCTGTGAAAAAGTGAGCTTGATCCCACAAAGAAAGTGCAGAACAGATATTAACCTCCATCAATGTTCTCTGAATCTCACGGTCTGCACTGGTACCCTCCGAAAACCGCCTTCCACCGATGGCGTCGATTTCGTCCATAAATATTACGCAGGGCTCGTGGTCCCTTGCATACCCGAACATCTCACGCACTACTCGTGCGCTCTCACCAATGTACTTGTCGACGATAGCAGAAGATACTACTTTGAGAAAATTAGTTTGGAGAGTAGCTGCGACAGCACGGGCAAGGAGAGTTTTGCCCGTCCCTGGGGGACCGTATAAGAGGACACCCTTGGGTGGTTTGATACCGACCCGGAGGAAGAGTTCTGGGCTGAGCAGCGGTAGCTCGATCACCTAGAGAATAGTAAGTATAAAGCAGCAGGAAGAAATTATAGCAAACATACCTCACGCAGCTCTCGTACCTGCTCACCCAAGCCACCAATACCCGCGAACGATGCACCTCCAGGATCTTCCAAGCTCATCTTGTAAACCATAGGATCTACTTCTCTTGGCAGGATACGCATGATTGTGAGTGTGGTCATGTCAAGAGAAACTCGTGTGCCTGTCTTGAGTTTCTCTGCTGGTAAGGCAGGACGATAAGAGACAACATATCGAGGTCCTGACGATGCCTTTACAATGACTATGCAATGATTGAGCGCCCCAACAGATGAAGAAACCTAATGCGACTGACATCGTTCGTCATCTAGTTGTTTCATGACCTCTCCAATAATCTGTCCAACGGACTGCACGGCCTTGATGTCATCCTCGGTCTTCGCGTATTCAGCCTCAAGATCTTTCAACGAAAACCGCACTGTATGTTAACAAACGTTAGAAAGCTTCGAATACTCCTGATTCGACAAACGCTAACGATTCTTGAGACTCTGACTCGAGTTCTCGTGACTCTGCATTTTCTATAACAGAGCTGAAATCAGCAGAAGTGCAAGACAGGCAGCTCACT